TTAATAAAAGGATACGAGCATTATTGTTGTGAGTATAGTATGAGTTGTTATAGTGGTTGTATCGCTGGTGAGATTGAATTCGGGTCAAATTAACTTTTGTTTATTAATATTATTATCTTATAATATGATTAAACATTGTTTTATAATCTAACAAGAAGGTTAAGACAATTAAATTTAACATGAAACCCAGACCAGCCGACCAGCAACCCCTAGCCAAAACTACTTAAAGAAATATTACCTTATATATAAAGAGAAAAATGAGTGAGGGTAAAATGTTAGATAATAATTTTATGGTTGAGAATTGCGCTAGCTTACCTGTTGATGTATTAAAAGGTATCATTTCATATAAATTAGGGGAACCTGAGTATTTGAAAATAAAACATAATCATATTAAGTCATTAAAGAGAATACAACAACAATATAAAATAAACAGAACAGAAACAAAAAGAAAGACAAAGCGCTATACAGTTGAAGATGGCGATGATATAAAGAGACATGTAATTGAGTATTACATTACAAGAAATATACCTTTAAGCATTAAAAGCATTGAAGATATAGTTTTTAATGAAAATGAAAACTTAGATTGTTTGTTAGATGGTATTGAAACCGTTAACGGATATGAAGCAGTGATAATAGTTGAGGCAAATATGTTTGTAAGGCTTCATCATTTCAATTATGAAGACGACCATTTTAACACTTTTAGTTTTCATTTTCGTAGTGATGATTTTGTAGATAATATAACCATAGATAATATATCCGAAGTAATGATAGAGGCACATCAAACAATATACAGATGTATTGATAGAGAAAGAAGTAGAATGAATTTTGGAGGAGTACAAAACATAAGGTTTAAACTAATTGTTGATGAACCTGTGTAATTCATAACTAAACCATAACCCCTAGCCAAAACTACTTAAAGAAATATTACCTTATATATTAAGAGAAAAATGAACGGTGATGGAATCAATAATTATATCGATAAAAAATGCTATGATTGTTGTCACTTCAAAAAAGAAAATATGGAATTGTATAAATTGAGTTTACCTAATGAAATAGTGAATAATATTATTAATTATTCAATGGATGGTGAAGAAGACATATGTAAAAATTGTAAAACATGGAGAGATAATCAATTTTTAATCAAATGTCTGTTGGGAATAAAAAGAATAAATAATAGAAATGTAGAAGATGAGATTTTAATATTTCTAACTGTAAATAAAATACCACCTTACGATTATGTTAAACAGTTTCTTAAAATCAGTAAGAAAAAATATGACATGATTGATGATATATTATGGATGTTGGGTTATAGTCAAGAGAAAGGAGAAGATGTTAAAGAAAATATCAAATTATTTATTGAAAGTAAAAAGTTTAATGTTCAGAATACAGTGAGAGATGTTAATATTATTTTTAAAATGATGTATGAAAGAAGTAAGACAAACCAATTAGATTATTATCCTGAACTGAAATTATAATCATAATATAATAATAACATGTAAAGTCTTATATGTTATAATTATACTGAACTTTTAACCTATAAATGAAAATTAGTGAGAAAAACACTAACAAAACAAATACACCACCAACACCCCAGAACTTGATAACTACTAAAAGGGCTACCTCTTTCAAATGAAAAAAATGTCGGCCCCCAGCCCAACAATGAACAAGGCGACAATTTACCCAATTGATTACCTTAACGAAAACGATAAATAAGCTCCCTAAAAACACCCTTTTCAAAACGAATAAGGGGGAACACAGATTTGAGATGGACATAAAAACCATAACAGGCAACCCTCAACAGGCTTCCCCTCAGGATCACCCTTTCTTCCATTTTTTCCCCCCCCTCCAAAACCCAGGTTTTGAACCTGGACAATTGCCAAAATCACTGGAACAAATGCTACTTTTGAGAAACATGTGTATTTTCGCCTCTGCGAAACACATATTTTTCAATTTCAAGCAGTAGATGTTGGCAAGTTCAATGAGTTAGTCAAACAAAAAGTCAGCTAATTAGTCAGTCAAATAGTTGTAATGAATTAGCTCTAATGCCAGTTAGCTAGTCAATTGGCTAATCAGTTAGTTATCTATTTAGCTGCCTAGTGAGTTAGATAATACTGAAGGTATTACCCTAATATTCCCCTTCCTTTACTAGTGAAATATTTGGGGAACACTGGGGGGGGGGGAAGTGAGGAAACACTAGGGGAATACTGGGGCAATACTAGGGCAATACTCAGGGAATACTGGGGCAATATTAAACGTGAATACTAGGACAATACGTGGAAATACTGAGGGAATACTAGGAGTATTCTCTCAAGCTCAATCTGTCTGACTTCTCTCAGGCTTCCTGACTAGGGCAATACTAGGGCTCTACTAGGGCTCTACTAGGGAAGTACTAGTGGAATACTAAAGGTGAATACTGGAAGAATTCTACCAAAATACTGAGAGAATACTAGGGGTATACCAAGAGAATACTTAAGGAATACCAGGGCAATACTAAAGGTATTCCCCTAGTAATTCCATCCCTTTACTAGGGGACATAGCAAGGGAATACTATGGTGTAGTGAGGAAATACTGGGTGTATACCAGAAGACTACTAAGTTAGCTGAATACTAGGGCAATAATAGGGGAATACTAGGGCAATCATAGGGCAATACTAAGGAAATACTCAGGGAATACTAGGGCAATATTACAGGATACTAGGAAATTCTGCGGGAATCCTTGGGGTATACCAAGAAAATATTTAAGGAATACTAGGGCAATACTGAAGGTATTCCCCTAGTATTCCCCTTCCCTTACTAGGAAATACTCGGCGCATACCAAGAGAATACTAACGGAATACTAGGGAAATACTCAAGGAAGACTAGGGAATACTAAGGAGCATACTAGGAGAATGCTAGGGGAATGCTGAGGGAATACGAGGGGCATACTCTCAAGCTCAATTTGTCTGACCTCTCAGGAACTTAAACAAATGAAGAAAAGCTGAAAAACCAAGATTCGGGGGGACATGCCCGGGGGGGCCCATGTCCCCATGAATCTTGGTTTTTCAGTTTTTTGTTTCAGTTTGTTTCAGTATTTTTCAGTTTTTTGTCAGTTCAGTTTCCAGAGCGCTTCCGTGAAGAGATGGTCTTGCGCAATCATAGTGCTTGGTTGCTCGACAATACTAGAAGGTGAATACTAGGAGAAAACTGACAAAAAACTGGAAAAAACTGAAAAATCAAGGATTCAGGGGGACATGCCTGGGGGGGCCCCATGTCTTTCTGAATCCTTGGTTTTTCAGTTTTCTCAGTTTGTTTTTCAGCTTGTTCAGTTTCCAAAGCGCTTCCTCGAAGAGATGCCCTTACGCAATCATAGTGCTTGGTTGCAGCATTGGCTGCCAAATGAGAGGCTCTTGACAGATGCAGACAGTGGGTCTGAAAGGTGTGTGTTCTGGCAGATGCCGGTTTTGGTGACAAAAAACTGTAAATACTAGTGTTTTCTCACAAAACCTTGGGTTTTTTTTGGGGTACCATATGTATATATATATATATTCAAGGATCATGTAAGGGCCTAAAGATTTCACATGGGCTTGTGGGTTACTTTAACCCCAACTTCACTCGTGATCACAGGGGGAGCCCATTCGATTTAGTACTGAAATCGCTTTGCGGGCTCAAGAATGCCCTTGGGTCAGAACCTTCTCCAAGCTTCAAGTTGTGGGCAATTCTGGAGGTCGCTTCATGCAGTCCAAAGGGAGGATCAAGCTGGGCAGGCGAAGCAGTCTTGTCAATGAGGTCCAGGAGTCCAATCTGCATCTTTGTGAGGGCTCAACAGCAGCTAGCTTGATTTTGCCATCCTTCATCCTGACTCTGAGCTACAGTCGCATGGCGCCCATGGATCCAGACATCAGGGTGTGTCGGTGATCCTGGGCCACATTCATATGTTGTTGTTCGACGAGAGGAAAGCTGGCTGGCAGTTCCATCTCCTGACTGCAGACTTGGCAGCTGCCAGTTCCAGACACACTGGCAGCTGCCAACTCCATCCCCAGTCAATTTGCTCAAGTTGGCAGCGCAGCTCCATTCTGACAGTTTGCCAGCTCCATACTCCAGCCTAAAGCTGACGTGGCAGTCTGGAGCTGGCTGACTCCAGACTGCTATGCCAGTTCCAGCTGCCAGCTTGGGCTAACTTGGAAACGGCCGGGGCCCAGACCTCCGAAGGTTCCCGGCCCAGGTGTGGATGTGCAGGCCAAGAAGCACCTGTCGAGACAAGGAAAAAGGGGGAAAGGGATCTCAGAGAGGAGAAGCCCTGGCGTCTCGGCAGCGTGCTTGCCGCGAGCATCTGACAATCATGGCTCGATGTTTGCCCATGTCTCGCAAATGGCCATGACTGCCAAGTATCTCTCGTGCTTGTCACCAAAATGGAAGTCAAGCTGAGGGGTTCAAGGTTAGCCCCAAGGCTTGCTCCAAAGCCTGAAGTTGCTTTGGAAGTGTCCCTGATTGCCTTGAGTAAATGGAAGAGCCAGCCGGTTGGCGAACGAAGGGAATTTAAATGGACAAACATTGTGTAGGCTACACCCATCATTTTTGTGGCTTTCTGAACGGAGGATGACACGACAAATGGGCAAACTAGCTTCTACTCCTAATACCTACGTTCAAGAAAAAGCACCCCATTGCCTTTTTCGGTCAGGGAGTTCCGCAACAACAGCAACAACAGCGACAACAGCGACAACAACCGCAACAGCAGCAGCAACGGCAACAGCAACAGCAGCAGCAGCAGCAGCAGCAGCAGCAACCAAGGCACAGCAGCAGCAGCAGCAACAGCAACAGCAACAGCAACAGCAACAGCAACAGCAACAGCAAGAACAGCACCAACAGCAACAGCAACAGCAACAACCACAACCACAACCACAACCACAACCACAACCACAACAACAACAACAACAACAACAACAACAACAACAACAACAACAACCAGAAACAGGCAGAAACAGACAGAAACAGACAGAAACAGACAGAAACAGACGGCCCGAGGACTTTCTGGAGGTGCTGCTGTGTGTGGGGGAGCGAGCCTTTGGGTCCCGGCAGCTGGAGCCAGTGCTGTCCGCCTTAGAAGTTTGAGCAAAATCGCTGGCTGCACTCGATGGAATCAAATTTGGGTTGGGTGGGTGCGTGGGGCAGGTGGGTGGTAGGTGGGTAGATGCTTGCTTGGCCGGTTGGTTTGCTAGCTTGCTCAACTGTTGGCTCGCTCAACTGGGGGGTGTCCGGATGGGAAACAGGCCCCCAAGATTCACGATGTTGGCGTTGCTGTTGTTTTCGGACATATCTTCCTAATTCTCAGGTAACCCTTAGTTGTTGGTTGGGACTGGTGGTTCGGGGGGGATTTGAACTCCTGGTGCTCGTAGAGGGCAATCCAAAGCAACCAATCCAAAACACCAAGTAGAAGGCTCACAGTCGATCGCACACGTCCATTTTCTGCATGGCTTTTCCACCAAAAGCAACCAGTGACTCCGTTTTGCAATGCCACTCCCAACCTTTTGGTTGGGTCCCGCAAATCGACCAAATCCACCCAGATCTTCTGCTGGGCAAGCTGAGCGTTTGTCTGTTGGCGGCCCGGAGCCACGAGGCCCAAATTATCCCGGCAAGAGACCCCAAATAGTATTGGGTCTAACTTGACGACAGGTGGCCCAGAAGCATAGAAAGACGTTAAATAAACACTGACACCTCTCCCACCTGATGGGATCGTAAACACGCCGATGCCCCTGCTCAAGCGTAGCTTCTGCGAAATCTGATGAGCAAGCTTAGCATCAGGCTTCACAATCTCTCCTGTCAACTTCTCGCGCTTGTGATGCTGTGGCTTGATGTTGCGCGCGAAGCTGTGGCCTGATGTTGCGCGCGAAGCTGTGCGTGATGTTGCGCGCGATGTCGCATGACGTTGCGAGCGATGCAGCGCATGATGCTGCGCATGATGCTCTGCAACCTCTCTTGCCAAATCTTTCATGTCCTCTCTTGAAAAACTCTCTTGTCCATATCTGTGAGCAGCTTGGCTGCGCAAGAAGGCTGGCAATTTTAGCTGTGGAAGTGTGCTTCGCATACTACCTGGAGCTGCGCGAGAGCGCTTCGCGCGCACGTAGCCATTTACAATTTTGCAGCCGGAGCTGTGGGAATGCACTTTATGTACAGCTTTGTCGAGTCGAGTGCCATGGGAACGCACTTCGTACACTCCTTTGACATTTAAAAGTTGCAACTTTGCAGCCGGAGCTCGGGAGCGCACTTCACGTAGGACTTTTGCACTAAAAACCTGCCAATTTCGAGCTGGAGCTGCGGGAGCGCACTTCGTGCGCTACTTTTGCGCTGAAAAGTTGCTATTCTCAAAAAAAAATCAATCTGGAGCTGCGGGATTGCACTTCCTGTACTACTTTTGTACGGAGTGCTCTTCGCGTACTATTTTTGTACTTAGAACTTGCGAGCTTTCAGCCGGAGTTGAGGGAATGTGCTCCGCAAACTACTTTTGTCCCTAGAAGTTGCGAGTTTCGAGCCGGAGCTGCAGGAGTGCACTTCGCGTACTACTTTTGAACTTAAAAATTGTGATTTTGCAGCCGGAGCTCCGGGGTGCTCTTCGCGCACTACTTTTGTACTTAAAAAGCGCGAATTTGCAGCCGGAGCTGCGGGAATGCTCTTCCCGTACAACTTTTGCACCTAGAAGTTGCGAATTTCGAGCTGCAGCTGCGGGAGCGCACTTTGCGCGCTAGCTTTGTACGTAAACATTGCGACTGCGCAGCCGGAGATGCGGCAGAGCACTTCGCCCCCCCCCCCCCCCCCCGGCTACTTTTTTGATTTGTGGCAGAGATTTAATGGCACTCCTATTCGAATCATCACTTTTTCGATCATGCAAAATGATGTAAAATACCGCATTTTATGTAGTCTGTGCATGTATGTCTGTATGTGTGCGCTTCTAGGGGAAGTCACCCCCGCCAACCCCCACCCCCGCCCCGCTGTTCTCTTCTATTCTACCGCACCCTTACAAAACGTTCGGGTTGAAGAAACACGCAGGCCTTTCCACCAATTTTTGGGAGGCCCCTTAAAATGGTAGGTAGTCGTCGAATTTGTCTTCACGCAGCCTGGAAGGAAGAACGAAGGGAATCGATTCGTGTGAGAGGGTTTCCAATGTACAAGCATACCTGTTTGAACCTTTTGGCAATCAAGGCATTTAAAAGTTGTTTCGCAGAAAGAAAATGGCATGAACAATGTTGAAGTGTGGTCAAAGTTAGAACCAGAGGCAGTTGTTTTTCATGCATCATCATATGTGTTGATAAATTAAGATGTTCAATGTCATAGTCTGAACATTGCAAGACTAGGCGTTTTAAAATACAAGCTACATTAATCGGGCCATAGACAAAGTACTGAGTACATGCTGAAGACATCAATCAGAAATACATTAAGAAGCCATGTCTAAAAGAGGACGGATCTGTTTGAGTGTTTCAGCTGAGCATTTGGTGATCTGTTTCTTTCCAAAGGCGGCAAGTTGCGAAGTGCGGTCCGTGGCACCTGCCGTTCTGGTTCATTAGGGCATCGTCCCAAGCCATGGGGAGCTGCCAGACCAGGTTGACCGCAGCGCCTTGGATGGTGCCAAAAGGCCAATGGAAATGGAACAGGTCTCAGTGGAGGGTGGGGGGGCAAGCCACCCCGAGCGTAACCTTTAGGCTTGCTCAGCTCTGAGTTGGAGATATATGGAACCCCAAAAAAATTGAAGCTCCCTATCAAATTAGAAGCGATATCAAGCTTCCATTGAAAATATAATTGTGGCTGGCTTTGAGGTACTGTGTTTTGGCTTGCCTTTGCTTGAATCAGTGCAAAGCTACAGTCAAGGCTTAAAGATTTGCTGTGCCTTTTGCGAGCTGGTTTTGTTCTGCTCACGTCATCAGATTCGCCCACCCGGATGAGCCGCGAGACTCCTGATAAATTGTGCACCCGCAGCTTGTTGAGCCCTCTTGATTCCGGTGTTTTGCCATCTGCCCGAATCATTTCCCTCCCGGCTAACATGTAAGTGCATAGACCCCTGTAGAAAGACTACTTCCCTCTTGGAAGGTTGCCCTTTCATGGCATTACCCAACAACTGGCAGGCTCTTGGGGTTTCGGGCAGCTCTGACCAATTCGGGCAGCTCTGACCGTCTCTGACCAATGTTCTCCAGGAGTCATGCATGCATGCCTCGCATGTTTCGTGGAGAGCATTCATGAGCGACCTCCAGAATCGGAAGCATGTTTGAGAGGCAAAAGGTGCATTTGAGTTTAACTGGCCAGAATGTCCAGTTGTTCTTTCAGATTTGCTGAAACATGAGCTGATGATAGCCTGAAAGGCCGAGACAAGCCAAGGTCAAGCCAACAAGAAGAACATCGCTGCAGGCGCTCAGCCAACCGATGGCGCTGTCTGTTTTGCAGTCACAAGGATAGTTGCTGGTTCTTATGTTTTTGGCAACTTCCCTTTGTGTGAAGGGCTAAAGACCTGTCTGCTTCTTTGTTGAGTGAAAACAGTGGGATGGAAGGGAGAACCAATTGCCAGTCATCAACGCCGTTGCCAAATGGTAGTGGGGAATCTGAAACATCATTACTTGAAGAACGCCAAAGTCAATGAGCTTTGTTGTGGTGGGGTGACACTTGACAGGAAAATCAGCAGACCTGGCAAAAGCCCACTTCAAAATAGAACAACGCTTCTCTTTGGCTTACCCAGAGGCTTCCCCACAGAACTGTGCGTGTGTGGGCGTGTCCTCAAGTGTTGCTTATCAATTAGGTAAATCATGCCAATTGTGTGAGTTGTGTTTTTGCGGATGCTTGAGATCTAACTGAGCAGGATTGTTGCGTGAGCCAGGGTTTCCAAGATGAAAGCAACGCGATGTTTCAAACAAGCTTGACACGTTATGTGCTCTGTGTCATCCGAACGATTTGTCGCATAGCTGCGTATTTGTGTTTCTGGTGGTTGCAAGTTTGGTGACACAGCGCGAAGTCTCTGAGCAAAAACATTGAATACCCGAAGTTCCAACGTGTCCGAACCGCCTTTATAGAGAGAGAGAGAGAGAGAGAGAAGAAAAAAAAAGAAGGCTGCGCGCCGGAGTGCAGGGCCCTGCCTAAGGCTTCGCAGGGGGCTCCGGAACCGTCAGACTGGCCGAGCGCCCCAGGCTCCGTAAACGTCATTGCCTGGCAAAAGGGGGAGCCGCGGTACCAGCAGCAGAAAAACGAGAGCTCATAATCGAGCGTGCCCGCAAGCATTTGCGCATGAGAGTTGGGGATCGTGGGCCGGCGTGCCTGCAGAAAACTATGAGCGGCGCCGGGGAGAGCCCGCACGGAGGACAATGGGGAGCACCCCGAGGCCTGCAGAAAGCAACTTGGGGAGCACCCCATGAGCGAGCAAGCTCGCGGAACAATCGCGGAGCACCTCATAGAGCGCCAGTGAGCACGCCCGCAAAACAAGTGGGGGGCACCCAATGAATGCACCCCGTGCCCAAATTGGGGAGCACCCCATAGCGAGCGCCCGCAAGACAATTGGAAAGCACCCCATAGGCTGGCTCACCCGCAGAAAAGAATGCAAAACACAAAACCGCCAGGCGAGGAGAAGGCGCAGGAGGAGAGCACCCGCCAGTCACGCGTCTAGAACACAAGGCCGGGAAAGAACGTGCCCAGGAACGCCACCAAGCCGTAGTCGAAGATGGGTGTCGCAAGGTCGGCGGAAAGAGCCGGAGGCTCAAAACAAACTGCAGCAGCAGCAACAACAACAGCAGCAGAGACAAACGCAAGGCCGGCAACAGCAGTGGCAGCAGCAGTAGCAGCCGCAACAGCAGGAGCAGCGGCAGCGACAGTCACCGCAAGGCGAACAAAGGGAGCAGAGGCCAAAGGTACACAGCAAGGAAAGAGAAACGGGCGTGTGGGTTGGTTTGCCTCTGGCGCACCAGTGACCACACGCGACCGGAAGCGCCCGGCGCCACACACAGCTCGGGGAACCGCCTTTATGGTTGTTCCTCGTGAAGCTGCCCAATTAAGGCCCTACACAAAATATACTGATTCTTTGTCGGTTCGAGCCGAAGCTTCAGTTTCCGTTTCTCTTAACCGCAGGCCGGCCCCGCTGGGCCAGGTGTTATGCAGGG